CTGACAGTACCCTTTTAAGGAATAAGGACTACCCCGAGCCTGCAAGACCCCACCCATGTTTGACTCCAAGACAATGATCATTCGACTCTCACTGCCTCCCTGCAGTACCCACCATCCTTTGCCCCACATTTTGAAAAATAAACCTGGAAGGATTTTTAGCACTTGGGGGACAGTCTTTGAGATGCTAGTCCGCTGTCTTCCCAGTGTTAGCCTCACTAAAAGTAAATTCCTTTCTTGTTTCACTACCGCTGGTCTCTCTGCCTTTGGATTTTCTCAGCAATTGGTGGCTGAACCTGGTCTGTTTGGGACTCCCACATCCAGTTGCTCCACCCTGCGAGCCAGCTATGTGTGTATGTATACATAATATACACATACTCAAATGTGTATGTATATTTTGTCTACATGGATTTTAGGTTTTAAAGTTAATCTTACCAAAAAAAATTTTTTTTGTCATTACACTGAATGGAAATTCATTTCTGTTGGCACAGAACTAAGTTAATGTCATAATGTGACTGACCAGGAAATCACTGCATATTCAGTGCATATTCCCTAGCGAAAGGAGTTATTTTATACTATTAGCATAAAATGAGTAAAAAAAAAAAATCTAAGACTGTGCACTCACATTAAACTTTTCTTTCTTTTGGGCAATGGTATGTGTGGTACTAGTTTTCTGTTTTAGCCTATACGTATTTTCTCCTTATTACAAATTTCACGTGTCATTTGCATAATTTTGAAAACTAGCATTCCTAAAATAAAAGTCAGATGTTAGTGGACATTATTTGAATGTATTGTTGTACTTGGTTCCAAGTACTTGATCAATATTCGCACCGCTTCCGGGTAGTTATCTGTTTTCAAGCCCCCTGACTGCGGGCTGCCACTTGTCACCAGCTGTCACTGTGAGTAATCACGGAGGGAGCGTCCCGAAAATCCCAACAGCGCTCCGGCGGCTGGAGGAGGCCAGGCCATATTACCATATGTCATCCAAAATGAAGTTGCGATCGAGGCTTCTGGGAAGCGTAGTTCCAGAGTGAGGCGCGCGGGGCTTTTGGGCATGCGCAATTCCACCTCCTTTTGACAGTCGCCATCTTCTGTCTCCTGCCCCAGGGCGGGATAGGACTCCGGGGCCTGCAGGTCTCCGCGGTGCGGCAGAGGGCGGGGCCTGGAACCTGCGCGGGCCGGGAGCGGTGGCCGAGCCCCTGCAGGTGTGTGGGAGGCCTCTCTGCGGGTGCGAGGCCGGGGGCGGGGGGAAGCCGGGTCTCCGCGGCTGCGACGAGTCGGAGAACTTGGAAGGCGCCGCCCCCCTCTGAGCGCCCGGCTGGCCTCCGAGGACTGGGGAGGGGGCCGGGCAGGGGGCTTGGCGGGGAAGCCCGTTGTCCATCTGCCGCCCCTCCCCAGAAGCCTGGCTCTCGACCTGCGGAGCCGGGCGGCCCGAGTTGGCCTGGGGCGCGGGAGCAGCGGGGAGGGACGCGGGGGGAACGGCTGTTGTGACGTGGACCCCGGGCCCGCCGCGTCCGCGCTGGCGTGGCTGCTGGCGTGGCTGTCGGCGCCGCGGCGGTGTCAGCCCGGGGGACCTGCGCGCGTCCGGTGCCCGCCACTTAACTGGGCAGGATGACCTGGGTACGACTCGGACATTCATCTGTAAAATAACCACACTAACTACTGGGGTTGTTTGCTGTATTAAATAGGGCCGTATATATAAAGTTTGATAAGGACTCAATAAAGGTGAGCTGCTTTTATTATTACCGAGGTATGCTGTTCTTTTCATTCTTGGCTCATTTAATCATAATCATCATGACCATCCTTTGAATCGGCATTAACCACCTCCATTTTAATAAACAGGAGTACGAAAGGTCGGAAATTGATTGGTTTACTCAGCGTTAGCGGTGACGGGGGTGGGTAAATTCGTTTTATTTACTCTTTGGTTCATGCGGTTTCCTACAGCCTTGGGCTGTATTTAGTACAATAATTGTCCCTCAGCATAACTGTGGAGTGTAATGGACCTAACCTAGTGTTCGATTAACAAAAATTCTTGAGGTTTCCTCAGAACCCTTGTGTCAAAAGGATAATTGAGGCCCTTCCCTCATTCTCCAACCTATTTGTATTCTCAGAGGAATGTTACACATGTAAATTGAGCCCTGAATCTTACATATTATTGGAGAAGCTGGGAATCCTCTCCAAGCCGGAGACTACTTTCTAGAGGGGGAATGGGACACACTTTATTAAAAAGACAAAAACTGGAATTTCATCCTTGCTCCGTGTTATTAAGGTGCTATCATAATGCCTCTGGCTGGTGTATCTGGGCTTATTATTAGGCATTTTGTAAGCATCAGGCCATCGGGAAGAGCTTTCTGCTATCTCAGCATTATGGCATCTAGTTACCTTTTGCTTACCTACATCAAGGGCCTGTTCTGGGATTTATGGTGTCAAATTGTTATTTTAGAAGTTAGATTTGTGTCCCTGTCATAATTCTTCGAGGCCTAATTAAATTTTACCCTTGGCCCAGCCCAGGCTTGGAGGGGACCGTGAATTCCAGGGTACTGTTGGGATTGTGGCACTGAGTGAAAATTTACAGAATCAAAATGGTACGTGAAAGTTTGAAAATTAGATCTAATCCCTCCTCACGTTAAATATAATACCACTGAAACGAAGTCACTAGGTTTGTTAATGCCAGAGACTAGCACGGAACCAAAGTCTCCAGGTCCACTGCACCATGCTTAAGTCAAAACTGGTGTCTTAGAGAAGTGATTTCTGAGAAACTGCAATTTAGGGAGAAGAGACATGTTAATTTTTGAGAGCTCTGAAGACTTTCTAACTTCGTGGGGTTTATAATGTTAATAGGAACAATTGTTATGTAACAAACACTTCTTTATCAGTTCTTTTCAACATCATTTGTAATGCCAGCATAGGGATCCACACTTTGGATATGTGTTATACATTTTGCCTAACTTGCTCTTATTGGATGTTTAAGTTTTCAATTCTTTTGTATTATTTAGTAAATGGGTACATAATTTGCAAAACAGCTAGTAGGAAAGAAATGTTTAGATTCACTCAAAAATTTCCCAGATTCATCGAGGTTGTATCAGAGTCACCAATGGACAGGTGGGTATTCCTTTATCATGCCCCTTTCTATTCCTTCTCATGGCTCAAAGGGATATTTTCCTAGGGGTTTATGTTTGACTAAAATGTATGGAAATTTCTCGCAGGTGATTCCTGAGCGGCAAGATAAGGTCTCTTAAGACTTCTGTCTTCCACCTTTCCCTGTTCTGGCTTCATAGTTTCTATCCTTTCCCAAGAGCAGCAGAACATGAACAAGTATCAGGTGAGTCATTTATTTAGCCCTGTTTGTGTGTGTGTGTGTGTGTGTGTGTGTGTGTGTGTGTGTATTTTCAGTGAGTTTTATGAAAAAGAGCCCATATATTAAACTAGAAAAGTGGAAATAGTTAAAAATCACCTTCAGGGAAAATACTGTGTGAATAACACAGCAGTTCCAGAATGCAGACCCCTGGCTTCCCCAAGACCTTTTCAAAGGAGTGTATCAGGTCAGAACCCAATACTAAGATGCAAATTGCCTTTTACACTGATGGTGTAAAAGCAGTGGTGAATAGATTGCTGTTGGACATGAATGAGACAATGATAGCAGGTGACTGTACTCAACAGTAAAAAATTCACCTTCACTTAAGGACAGCCTTGATGAAACAGTAAAAGTAACTAATTTTATTACATTTTGACCCCCCGAATACCCATCTTTTTTTTTTTTTTT